AATTTCCCTCCCCCCCCCCCCCCTTCCTCCCTATTCTCCATTCCCCTATTAAAACTGCCTTTTTGGACTGTATAGGTGTTTTATGAAAATGTGATCAAAGAAATAACACTTTTTAATGCAAGAGAGTTAACTTTAAAAGAGTATTTGAAGAGCTATAAGTGCCTTAAGGAGCATCTTAAATTTGATCATTCTCATATCTGATACCTGTGCAAAGCCATAATATACTAAAGGGTGTGTGGCTATATGGCCTAACTTTTTATATCTGTTTCATGGCTACTATTTCCCTGCATGTTATTTTTCTAAGTTGACAGATTGGTGTACTGTTTTTCATAAATATTGATTTGTACATATGAAAGGTGTACTTCTTGATTGTCTGATACAAGACCAAGAAGTACTGAGATTCCGAAAATGATGTAGAAATTCAATAACGTATTAAAATTTATGTGGACTGCAAAAAATAATAAATTGATATGTTCTAGACTAACATCTTGCATCCTATTTTTATTTCAAAAAGGAATCATATTTTGTTTAGTGTCTTTTTATTGGGTTTTTTTTTAGGCTTTTTATTTTGGTGTGGTGTTGGTTTTTCTTGTTTGTCTTTTCTTTTCGTAACTATTACATTCGAGAGGTTGTGTCTAGTCTTGAGCTACTGAAATAAGTAGGCTTACCATTCAGGTCAATAGGACCAGGTTTAGACCTGTTGATTTTTATTAGTGTTCTGAAACTCCATCTGTTCAATATGCTGAATCTGGAAAAAAGATCCAATGCTGGGTTGCTACTATTAACCTTTAAATGTATAATGTATGTTCTAAATCTTAAAGCATTTGACTTCCTCATTCTTGTTATAGAGCACTTCCACTTACCTGTAGTAAGTGATTGTAAAACACACTCACTGAAGCAGAACTTTCATAATGGTTAGTTAGACGCAACATTTCAGAGAGTACAATTTTGCTGCCTTATCGATGGGGTAGGCTTAACTGAGGTGGAGGGTCACAGCCTCCCTGCTAACCAATATATTTTTCAGGTTTTTAGCAAGTTGCACAATTTTACCATTGGGTTTAGGACCTAAGCCTGAACGGTTTTTTTTGGTTTTTTTTTTTTTTTTTAAATTCTGAAAACTTTCCATTTCGAAGCATGTGTTTCTAGACCAATTCATGCTTTTATAACACAATCACTATTATTTCATCTGAGCATCTTACATAAATATCAGTGCATCATTATTGGACCAGTTGCCTGGGCAACCATACTTCAGCCCCCTTGTCTGTATGCCTTAAATGATCGTATACTTTTTTTTGTTTCTTTGGGACCCCTGCCTTATTCAGTGCATGGAATAGACACTGCTTGCTGAATGTTTATTATTATCCTTATTATTCAATATGTGCCCCTTTGTTTTACTTATGATCTTGTTGTGTTTTTCTTTTGCTATATTGGTTTCAATTTCTATATTTATTGCCTCAAATTTTACACTTTTTGTATTGCTGATGGGTATCTGAGTTGTAAGAGGAGACTGGGCAATGCCAACTCCTTTGTAGTTGAGTAAGGCTCTGATAATAGTTTTGATGCCCAGGAAAGAAGAAAGAGGTGATTTAATCTTTTTTGTGGTTATGAGACTTTTAGGTACCAGGCCAGGAGTGCATTTATTTCTTTCCCAACCTCCTTCATTGGAAGGGACTAAGAAGGCATTAAACTTCTCCACCTTGGGGACCTTTCTGAGCCTACTGCACCTCACTCAGCATTTGACATTACATCCAAAGACAATGGGTAGCCATTACAGCATGGAGGGAAGCGGGGATTCTTACCTGCCTTGGGGATTTAAAAAAAGGCCCTGCTAAAATAATCAGCACTTTAACTTTAAACTGTCCCTGGATATAAGTAAGCCTCAGTAAACTGTTCAGGTGACTGGATTGTTCGTGCCCGGGGTGGATCCAAGATTTGGCAAAGGGGGCTGCAGAAGCTCTGGGGTTGGGAGCCTCGGCTCCCAGCATCCTCTACCACATCTTATCAGTGTGGATAGCATATGCTGTGGGAGCCCTTGGGGATTTTTTTTAAAGTCCCCAAAGCAGATAATAATTCCCTCCCCCTTCCCTCCATGCTCAGAGGCACGTCCCCTTCCCTTCTCCATCTGCTGCTACTGCTTTTCCTGCTGTTCTGAGCTGGAGGAAGCTTCAAAGTCCCTCCTGCCTGCTCCAGACAGGCTATGATGGGGCTGGGCTGAGCTGGGAGCAGTGACAGCTGAAATGGTGGAGATGGGTAGGTGATGGGTTCCTCCACCCTATCCAGTCCTCCTGAAAGGAGATGTGGGAAGGGGAACCCACCTTCACTTTGCTTAGCTGAGCCCACCCCCAAGACAACTGAGAACTCAGCACCTGCAGGTGGGGGCGGGGAGGGAAAGGGAGGTGACAGGCCTCTGAGCAGGAGAGGAAGGAGAGGGATTCTCACCTGCTTTTGGGACTTTGGATCAGACACCAGAAGCCCTGTTTTAATCTGAAAGCCACTGCACCACCTCTGGATATGTCCCATGCCTCTTGGACTTGCTATTTCAAGCTCTGCAAATTCAGCTGGATGTTACTACAATGATTTCTGCTATTTTGTATTCTGTAACCATAAGAGGCAAGGGCTTCATTGCTTTTTGTTTGTTTGTTTGTTTGTTTGTTTGTTTTTCTGTTCAGGAGTACAGTGATGCAGTAGGTTACCCACAGTTGGCAATCAGACAACAAACTAGGTAGCTGCCTTCTGGGGGGCCTGCTTGCGGATTTTTCCAAGCACTAATTTAACAAATATTAAAATCGCAAGAATCACGTAACTCTCATTTCACAGCCACACGTGCGGACAGGCAGTAGCATTATTTGCAGAGCAGTCAAAACCTTAACTCGGGTGCCAATACATGTCCTGACATAGCAACCTGAAGCTCAGTACAGGCTAACTTACCCCACTTCCTGGGCAGGTGTTGCAGTGACTGTGGCGTGGATTGAGCCAAACTGGGGGGTGAGGAATGCCTCTCTTTCCCTGCCCTTCCCCATTCTGGGTACTATGAAACATGTTTTAAACCAAGACTGTTTCTCTCTGAGAGAGAATTTTAATCCAAACAGAGTGAGTTACTGATATACTGAAATAACAAACTATACCTAATTTCTATTAACACACTGCAGTTTCCTAAGACTTGAAATAGGTGAAATAGGAATGTTTTGAGAATCTAGGCTAAGGTTCAGAAGGAGCCTAGCTATACACCATTAACTGCTGTCAATATTCCAGGCTGCTATTCAAAATACATTGGGACTGATTAGTCAGGATCCTGCCTGTAACCTTTTTGTGTACAACAGTGTGAAGTGGATATGATAGAGAAAGCTGCTCATTCTGGTTTGTTAGCATTTACACAGGTATAAAGAGGCAACACGACATATACAACTCCAAGCCCATGGGAAAAAAAACATCATTTAGTAGATGACCAACTCATATTATCTTTGTGCTGGTAGGCAATATGATACATCTAGGTCATGTGAGACCAGTGTTGTATCTATGGCATGTAGGAGAGCAGAAACGCACAAATCTTAACTGTAAAACAGAGCCTTTGGTGTAAATATATTTAGCACTTGGGCAATGGCTTGCTTTTAAGTGCTGTACAAGCATTAAGCAATCTGCCCTAGTAACTTTGTGACATAAGCCAAGTCTGGCCGGGTATGAGGCAAGTAAACAGCTGGAGGGCTATATTGTACCTTGCAGAAGGAGAATGAAGGACTCCAAAAAACTCATCAGCATTGCTTGGAGATTTCTTGTTACAGAAAAGTAGAGGCGCAGATTAGTCAGGTCACTTGCCCTTTGTTGGGTCTGGAATCATGCCCATAGACACTGGACCTCCATTGTGTTCTGTTGTGGTGTTCAGCAGCAATCACTGGCTTCCACACTATGCAAGGGTTCAGTAACTGTTACGTGGCAGAGCCAAGAGAAGCTAAAACTACACTGGCAAACATGAAGCCTTGCAGAGATTCAGTGGGATCCAAAAGGGAAGAAACTGCAAAGAGCAGTTGTTCCCCATTCCTGACATGTCAGGGTGTGTAAACCACATGAAGTAGCTCTGGTATTAGGGAGTAGGGGTCACATCCTCCTGTATAGACTAGGATACCTTCTATGATCATTTGGTCTTACTGTTCTCCCTGTACACCAATGCCAAAATAACCACAATTTTTCTTTTGTTATCCTTCTCTTCTCTTTGTGCATAGTGACTTTTATTTATAACAGTTACAACAAACATGGGTCAATTGATACAGAGTTTATGGTTTCACTAACAATGGAATAAGCAGGAGTGGAGTGTGAAGGTGGAATATTGGGTGTTAAAGAAAAAGCTGATGCACCTGCATAGGGTGGCTGTGGCTGTATTCTCCACTAGACCATTTTAGGCTGGACATAAGAAAAAAATTCTTTACTGTCTGGGCCCCCAAGACCTGGAATAGACTCCCTCCAGAAGTGGTGCAGGCACCTACTCTGGACTCATTCAAGAAATGCTTGGATGCTTATCTTGCTGGGATCCTTTGACCCTAGCTGACTTCCTGCTCCTGGGGCAGGGGGCTGGACTTGAAATTCGAGGTCCCTTCCAGCCCTAATGTCTATGAAATCTATGAAAAGATGTTGGATCTTTTGTTAAATACAAAATTGCTGTTTAATTTGCTTTTGTTCTTTCACTTAAACCAAG